TCAGATTGGAACTGCAGTGGCTTTTTTTTACTTTGGTAATGCTGGCTCTTAGTGGACCAGAGAAGGCTCTTATACTGGTGTGGTGAAGCTTGGAAGGAACTTCTCAGTTTTATGTTCGTATCGGTCTTATTGTGGTCAGGAATAGACTCAGAGTCGTGCACAAGCACTCAGGTGATGAATGTTTCCCCCAGCGGTTTAGCCAGAAGGTTACTCTGATCGCACCCCAGATGGCATCAGAGGCAAGCAAGGTTTTTTTTTTTTTTTTCATTTATTTTTATTAGTTGGAGGCTAATTACTTTGCAAGCAAGGTTTTAATGGTGAGGAGCTGGATGTCAGTCAGGGATGCCATCAGGTCTACCCCTGGTGCATCTCAGCCCCGCCTCGGTGATAGAACTGGGAGGGACGAGTATGTCGCCTGCGTCGGTAAGGGACAGACTAAGTCCAACCAGGAAAGAAAAGCTTTGGTGTAAAATCTGTCTACACCCCCATCTAGAGCAAGGAGTTGTCACGTGAGTGTATGCTCCTCGGTTCTTTGTCTCATCACAACAAAAATTTGGAGTGACGGACATTAAAGCCCCTTGGCGGGTCACAGCTCTCGGAGGACAGACCGTGTTACAGCTCTCAGGTCTCGAACGGACCGTGTTATAGCTCTTAAATAAATCAGTGTTACAGCTCACTGTTACAGCTCTATTTATCTAGATAATAGCAGGGAAATCCATCTTTGAGGCGTGAGGGCGTGAAGGCGAAGAGAAGACCGCCCCATCGCGCGGGGGAGAGGGAGGGAGCAGAAAAGCGGGGGGCGGGGGGGAAGAGGGCTTTCGCTCCTCTGTTTATGTTTCTCTGTCCCTGGGCCTGCCTTATGTAAATTGGGCTTAGGCTGGAGCGTTGTTTGTTTTACCTGAGGTTCTCACTCCGGTCCTCGGACCTTCCTTTGTTCTATTTTCGCGGGCTTTCCCTTCCAGGTCTCTTAGCCACCGCCATTGTGGACTCTTTTTCCCTATTCTAACTACCTAACAGAGGGATGACTCTGGTAGAAAGATGGTGCTGGTCACTTTTTTTCTCTGTTACAGATGGGAGCTAACAATTCAAGCCTCAGTCCTTTGAACTGTATCCTGAAAAACTGGGATAGATTTGATCCCTGGGGCTTAAAGAAGACACACCTGGTCTTCCTATGTGATACTGCATGACCACGGTATCCACTGGAGTACGGCGAACGGTGGCCGGTTGGAGGGTCTCAAGTATAATACTGTTTTACAGTTAGACCAGTTCTGTAGAAAACAAGGGAAATGGGTGGAAGTAGCATATGTGTTGCCCTTTTTCTGTCTGCGAAATATGCCAGACTTATGTCCTAAGAGTATAGATTTGGGTGTGACTCCTTCAGCTCCCTCCTGTCCTCCTACTTTGCTAGATGAGATGGAGGATAGGAGACAAAGAGATAACGAAAAGCAGGTTTCTCCAATCTACCCCTGGGATCATATGCACTGAGCAGCCAGAGAGACTGAGGAACAGCCCCACAAGCTGTTGCTTCTTCATGAAGCACCCACTGGGAGAAATAATCAGTCTATGAGCGTTAATAAGCCCTTTTCCTATCAAGAAATACAAAGAATCAAGGAGGATCTGGGAGACTATTTAGAAGACTCAGAAAAACAGTTTTTAAAGGTGTTACTCTGCTTTATGACCTTACTTGGAAGGATGTGACGTATATCTTGGGACAAACGCTGACTCCCGACTCAAAGACTCGAGTTTTGGGAAAAGCAGTTGTTTATGGAGATGAATGGTTTGGTATTGAATCAGTAGGGAAGAGGGAGGGTGGGATAACCACCCTCTCCACTGGAAATCAGGTGGTCCCAACTACAGAACCAGACTGGGACTACAACACAGCTAAAGGAAGACGGGATTGTTAGGTAGTTAGAATAGGGGAAAACAGTCCACAATGGCGGTGGCTAAAAGACCTGGAAGGGAAAGCCCGCGAAAATAGAACAAAGGAAGGTCCGAGGACCGGAGTGAGAACCTCAGGTAAAACAAACAACCCTCCTGCCTAAGCCCAGTTTACATAAGGCAGGCCCAGGGACAGAGAAACATAAACAGAGGAGCGAAAGCCCTCTTCCCCCCCGCCCCCCGCTTTTCTGCTCCCTCCCTCTCCCCCGCGCGATGGGGCGGTCTTCTCTTCGCCCTCACGCCTCAAAGACGGATTTTCCTGCTATTATCTAAATAAACAGAGCTGTAACACTGATTTATTGAAGAGCTATAACACGGTCCGTTCAAGACCTGAGAGCTGTAACACGATCTGTCCCCCGAGAGCTGTGACCCGCCAAGGGGCTTCAGTGTCCGTCACTCCAAAGTCTTGTTGTGACGAGACAGAGAACCGAGGAGCATGCACTCGCCTGACATCTATGGGGCCGTGACTCGGATAAAACCTGGCTGAAACAACCTCCACGCGGAAGGGGCCCAGCGCAGCAGGAGCCCAACTCAGCGAAGCTCCCGAGCTACAAGCAGAACGCGAAGAAAACCCAGCACCGGGGAAGGCCCATCGTGCTGGAAACCGGGGAGGCCAAAACCGAACTCGGCAGAAAGCCCACGCAGCTCAGCCTCAGATTCCAGAAGACCTCCGGTTAAGGTAGGAGGTCCTCGATCCTATGGCTGGAGGGACATGCCTAACAATCTTAATTCCTTTACAACCTCTCATTTCTCGTTTCTGTGAACCCCCCGCGAACAGGCGGGCAGCAGTGGGTGCAGTTAAGGGACTCTGGAGAGGCTCTCCTTCAATATGTCCAAAGGCACTCTCTGCTGAGTCCCAGTAGCTGTTCCCCAAGCCGGTGCGGGTTCTTCTGTCCCTACTCCTCTCTATTCCAAGAATCAGGCCAATAAAAACTGAGCACCGGTCAGATATCTAGCAAGTTTTCCAGCAGTCTATAAAGGGGATTCCTTGGCACATTTTTCCCACTGCTTTCTCCTCTTTTCCTTCAGCTCTTTCTCCTGGGACTCGAGCCCGACCAAAACCCAGGATGCCCGGCTCAGGCTCTGAGGTCTTATTAACAAACATTCAGTGAGAGACCAAGCGATAAGTGGGAGGTGGGTTTGCTAGGATTCAGAGAGAAGCGCCCATCGTACAGGGTACGGGCCATGGAATGTGGCCTAACTAAATTTTGCGAGCGGGGCGAATTCATACGCTAATGAGCGGGAGGCTCATCCCAGCCACAGGAGAACCACCCACTCCTCCCTCTGCTGACAGTGCCTAGGGCTGTTCTGCCACCTCTGGGTGTGTCTTTTGGTTTACAGATTGGGGATTAAAGTTTGCTCTGTTGGACCCAATTGACTATAATGGGTTTATGTTCTGCCCTGGTGCTATGGTGCTATGGTGCTATGTCTTTCTTCCAAAGGTTGTGCTCTGCCCCCCTTTCTTCCTGTTTCATGCTCCTTTCCTCAGCCCCATCCGAGCCCACAAGGTTGCCTCTACAATCTACTAGAGGGGTAACCAAAAAAAAAAAAAAAAAATAGCTGGCCTTGGGAGGGAAGAACTGTATAATATCCAACCTTAGGCCTGCCTAGCATTGGTCACGCTGGAGATCTTGGGGACGCCCAAACTCCAGCCCGGGGGTCCCGGGAGGTCATCACGCCTTGACCTGCCTAGGGATCTGGTCCTTGAAAGGTCGTCACGCCTCAGCCTTTCGGGGATCCGGTAGTCCCAAGAGTCCCAGGAGGCCGTCACGCCTCGACCTGCCCGGGGATTCGATCTCTAGGAGGCTGTCACGCCCCAGCCTGCCTGGAGATCTGCATCCGACCCGGGGACGCCAGGCTCTCAGGTTGCCACAGCACTGGGTAAGATAAGCTTCAAAAAGCCTGTTAGTTGTTTTCTTTTCCTTTTCCTCCCTAACATGACTGTTTTTCAGATGGGAAAGAACCAGTCCACTTCCCGGCAGACGCCCTTGAGATGCATCCTTGACAACTGGAAGCTGTTCGATCCTCTAACTCTGAGTTTAAAATTCTTTTGTGCCACTGCGTGGCCACGGTATCCACGGGGGGACGAGGAACACTTGCCCGAGGATGGGACTTTAAATTACAATACCATCCTGCAATTAGAATTATTCTGCAAAAGACAAGGGAAATGGACAAAGATCCCCTATGTCCAAATTTTCTTCAGACTGAGAGATATGAAGGAGCTCTGTCTTAAGTATGGGATTGTTGTGCGCCCTAAAAGGGAGCCCACTAGGCAAATGGTGTTAGGCACCAGGCAACCAAGAAAAGGAAGCCCCCCCCCCCGTGAAGGCTCACCTCCCACAGCTCCCGAGTTGCCTGGTGCTGCTTCCTTGTATCCAAGCGTGCCCCCATATCTGGGAGCACCCCCTCCACAAAAGCCAGCTCGAGTATGTCCCCTAGTTGAAACTGGAGGAGAATTCGGACAAACCCGCGTCCATAAACCCTTCTCCCTCTTAGAACTAAGGCAAATCAAACAAGACCTGGGAAGCTATACAGATGACCCAGGCAAATATATAGATACGTTCCAACATATTACATTGGCCTTTGACTTGACATGGAAGGACATCACGGTCCTATTTAGTCAAACTTTATCTGACCCTGAACATACTAGGGTCTTAAAGGAAGCCCTGAGGTATGCAACAGGGCTTCACATGTCAAGCAGTAGATACCCAGTAGGGGAAACTGCAGTCCCCTCCTCCGATCCTAACTGGAATTATAATGACCCTGAGCACATCTGAGAAAGAGATCATTTTCTAATCTGTATAAAGGCAGGACTGAAAGCAGCCCAGCAAAAAGTAATCAGCTATGCCCGGGTCTCAGCAATAACTCAGGGGTCCAATGAGAACCCCATTGCCTTTCTGGAAAGGCTAAAAGAGGCCCTCCAAAAGTTTACCAATTTGGACTCAGACTCTTACGAAGGACAGGTGATTTTAAAGGACAAATTCCTGTCCCAGTGTGCATCAGATATCAGAATTAAGTTACAACAACTACAGCAGCAGGACTCTGCTGCCTCTCCAGATGAGATGATCCAGACAGCCACCAATACCTTCTATAACAGAGAACAGGAGAAGGAGGCCAAGGCCCAGGAGAGGGAGGGAAGGAAAGAGACGAGGCATGCCCAGATGCTGGCCGCCCTCCAGGGAAGCCCTATGGCACACCGCGAGCCCTTGAAGGACAAGGCACGGGGCAAATGCCTGATCTGTAGACAGGCGGGGCATTGGGCCAAAGAGTGTCCTAACCGTGACAAGTCTCCTAGAACAGCTGGCCACAAATGCCATCAACTGGGACATTGGGCGGCACTCTGCCCTCGGGACCCAAAAGCCTCAAGGTCAAGTGCCAAGCCTTCCCTCACGATGGTTTGGGAGGACTGAAGCGGCCCGCTCCAGCCAGCCCGCCTGTCACAGATAACCATCACGGGGCTGGGGCCAAGGGGGCAACTGGATGTGGCAGGTAGGCCCGAGAATTTCTTGGTTGACACAGGGGCTACCTACTCTGTCTTGATCTCCTACTCCGGAGCCGTCTCCTCCCAAACCTGTACCGTTTTGTGTGCTACAGGAAAAGCAACTACTAGAAGATTCACCCAAGCACTTCTTGGTTGCTGGGGTGGACAGATATTCTCCCACCAGCTCCCGGTGGTCCCTGAGTGTCCTACTCCCTTAATGGGAAGAGACATACTCACTGAACTGGGGACCACCCTTGTGATGGGAAGCTTTTCAGCCCCTAGGGCCCTACAGCTTCTGGTTACTACTGAGGAACCCATTACACCTCCAATAGAGAGAGAGCAAAGACTATGGGAGGACAAAATTAACCCCCAGGCGTGGGACCAGGGGATTCCCGGACGAGCCCACCAAGCTGAGCCGGTCATCGTTGTCCTCCGAGATCCCACTCGGTTTCCTAACCGGAAACAATATCCCCTCAAAAGAGAGGCTCGGGAGGGAGTACAGCCTTTAATAAATAAATTCTTTGCTTGTGGGCTAGTGGTCCCCACCAGTTCGCCATGTAACACCCCAATCCTCTCAATAAAGAAAAAGGTTGGAACCTGGCGAATGGTTCAAGATCTCCAGATCATAAACGAAGCTGTAGTCCCCCTCCATCCCACAGTACCCAATCCCTATGTAATCTTGGGAGAAATCCCACCCAGTGCCAAGTGGTTTACAGTCTTGGACGTCAAAGATGCATTTTTTTTTGCATACCACTGGCTAAAGAATCCCAATATCTTTTTGCCTTCGAGTGGGAGGCCCCAGGAGACAAACACCAACAGATGACTTGGACAGTATTGCCTCAGGGGTTCGGAGAGAGCCCCCACTTGTTTGGACAGGCCCTTAGCCAGAATCTCCTAGATCTGGACCCGGGACCTAATGGGAAAATATTACAATATGTAGATGACCTACTAATCTGCTCTCCAGATGAAAAAAAGGCCCAACGACATGCAATTCAGGTTCTAAACTTTCTGGCAGAAAGGGGATATAAAGTCTCCCGTGCTAAGGCACAGATGGTCGAGACAAAGGTCACTTACCTGGGAGTTCAGATTACACATGGGTCCAGGAGGCTGTCTCTGATGGGGTACAAGGAATCCTCCAGTTGCCCTCCCCCACGACTCGAAAACAATTGCGAGCTTTCCTGGGGCTAACTGGGCACTGTAGAATCTGGATACCCAATTATGGTCTAGTTGCCCAGCCCTTATATAAAAGCTTAAAGGGACGAGATGATTCAATCCCACTAATGTGGGAAACTCCTCAAAAGAAGGCAAAGGCTACACTAAAACAGGCCTTAACTCGGGCACCTGCCTTGAGGTTGCCAGATCCAAGAAAAGCCTTCCAACTTTATGTCCATGAGAGAGAGGGAATAGCCTTGAGAGTGTTAACTCAAAGGTTGGGATCTGAGCCCCAGCCTGTAGCTTACTTATCCAAGAGACTTGATCCAACCGCCCAAGGCTGGCCCACCTGCCTTCGAAATCTTGCAGCTATTGCAATCCTGAGAGAAGATGCTTTAAAACTCTCCTTTGGGGGCAAACTAACTATTTTTACCAGCCACGAAGTAAAACAGCTCCTAAATGGGCGGGGCCATTTGTGGATGTCTGATCAAAGAATCCTCAGATATCAAGTAATATTGATGGAAAATCCAGGCCTCGCTATATCCCCTTGTGAGGTTCTTAACCCAGCCACCCTCCTGCCTACCCCCGAGGGCTCTCTCCCCCTTTCACTCCTGTCTAGAAACCTTGGACCACTGGACAAAACCCCGAGAGGGATTGTCAGAAGATCCTCTGATCAATCCTGAAGAAATCTGGTACACAGACGGAAGCAGCTTTGTCTTGGATGGAAAAAGAAGAGCCGGATATGCAGTAGTCTCCAATTTTGAGGTCATAGAGGCTAAGCCTCTGCCGCCAGGTACTTCAGCCCAATCAGCTGAGCTCATAGCCCTGACTCGAGCTTTAGAGCTGGGAAAAGGAAAAAGAACAGCCATGTATACTGACTCCAAGTATGCCTTTCTGGTGCTACATGCACATGCAGCTATCGGGAAAGAAAGGGGCCATTTGACCACCCGAGGGTCCCCAATCAAATATGGTGATCAAATCCTTAGACTCTTAGAGGCAGTCCATCTGCCCACTGAGGCTTCTGTCTCCCACTGTAAAGGACACCAAAAAGGGAGCACTGAAGTGGCACGAGGGAACCAGGCAGCTGACCAGGCAGCTGAGAGAGCAGCGTTACAGAACCATGACCTAATGGGGACTGCCACCTTAGTTCCACAGACTAACTTGCCAGAAACTCCTTCATACACTGAAGGTGAGACTCTTAAAGCTAAGAGTGAGGGCTTTCAAGAAGATCATATGGGGTGGTTCCAAAAGGAGGGGCTCCTTTTTTCTGCCTGGGAACCTCCAATGGAAGTTGGTGAACTCCTTACATGCCACCACTCATTTAGGAGGAAAGGCCCTCCAAGTATTACTAGAAAGGTCTTTCAGAGGCACAGGCATCCAAACAACTAGAAGACAAGTGGTCTCCTCTTGCCCCACTTGCCAATTAAACAACCCCCAAGGAACTCGAAGACCCCAGCTGGCCCAGCCCATCCAGCGACGTGGGGCTTATCCAGGAGAGGACTGGCAGATGGACTTCACCCAGATGCCGGTTTCTCAAGGGTGTAGATGCCTATTAGTCATGATAGATACATTCACCGGATGGATTGAAGGCTTTCCCACCCGGACTGAGAAGGCTGAGGAGGTAGTAAAAAGACTGCTCCATGAAATCATTCCAAGGTTTGGTTTGCCCAGGTCATTACAAAGTGACAATGGGACACCATTTACTTCTAAGATCACCCAAGGAACCTCTAAAGCATTGGGCGTTACTTGTTATCTCCATTGTTCCCAGAGGCCTCAGTCTTCAGGAAAATTAGGAAGAGCCAACCAATTCTTACAATCGGCGATAAAAACCATAACCCAGGAGACCTCCCTGGGACGGAAGGAGGCTTTCCCAGGAGCTCTCCTCCACACCCGTATTGCCCCTAAGGAACAGGCTGGCCTGAGCCCTTACGAGATGCTCTGCGGGAGACCTTTTGTTTATGTCAGTGACCTCTTCCTAGATCCAGAGGTTCAGACCCTCCGGCCTTATACCATGGCCGTTGGGCAATTCCAACAGGATATACGCTTGTGGGGTATGAACCAGGACCCAAAATACTCTAAAGACTCGCCACTATATGCTCCAGGGACTCCAGTCCTAATTAAAGTCTGGAGAGATGGGTTCCCAAAGGCTCGATTCCAGCCCACATGGAAGGGCCCCTACCCTGTAATACTTTCTACTCCGACAGCGGTCAAGGTGACAGGACATGACTCCTGGATTCACCACTCACGAGTCAAGCCGTGGAAGAAAACAGAAGAGGACACTCAGTACACCTGGGAGCCCCTGGGAGATCTCAGATACCTATTCAGAACTACAAATGAGTGCCCTTCTAATAAACAACCCCCAAATCTGGTCTCCGGGGAGAAGATTTCTCAAGACAGTTCTAAAGAGCCAACACAGCTTGGCAAAAATAATACTCCAAACCAGACAGGAGATAGATCTTCCGATCCCTCAACAAGGAGGGACTTGGGCTATCCTGGCGATGTGAATTTAAAATTGGCTAATGCCCCACCTAGCCCTTGTTATGCCATACTGATGCTGCTAATGACTGTTCCATGTACTGTCAATGGTCTAACCTGTCTTGTCTCTGCCCAGGTCAAGCTACGACACGCAGCGCCAGTTCAGCAAAGATAAAACTACAGCCAACCACAGAAAACGTCAGTCACCCTTGGGTGGACACCGCTACAAGGACTCTGAGGCCTGAGACTAGCAAGAGGGGGAGGCCCAATGCCCCTCGCCGTCCCAGTTCAGCAGGAAGTAGCCAGAGAGACCTCGACGCCCCTATTCCCAAAGAGTTGGGCCTCCCATCTCTTGAGGGGGGAATGTTAGGTAGTTAGAATAGGGAAAAAGAGTCCAAAATGGCGGTGGCTAAGAGACCTGGAAGGGAAAGCCCGCGAAAATAGAACAAAGGAAGGTCCGAGGACCGGAGTGAGAACCTCGGGTAAAACAAACAACCCTCCTGCCTAAGCCCAGTTTACATAAGGCAGGCCCAGGGACAGAGAAACATAAACAGAGGAGCGAAAGCCCTCTTCCCCCCCCCCGCCCCCCGCTTTTCTGCTCCCTCCCTCTCCCCCGCGCGATGGGGCGGTCTTCTCTTCGCCCTCACGCCCTCACGCCTCAAAGACGGATTTTCCTGCTATTGTCTAAATAAATAGAGCTGTAACACTGAGCTGTAACACTGATTTATTTAAGAGCTGTAACACGGTCCGTTCGAGACCTGAGAGCTGTAACACGGTCTGTCCTCCGAGAGCTGTGACCCGCCAAGGGGCTTTAGTGTCCGTCACTCCAAAGTCTTGTTGTGACGAGACAGAGAACCGAGGAGCATGCACTCGCCTGACAGGATCAGAGTCATTTTGTTAGATGTATTCTTGAAGGACTCGGGCAGGCGCATGCTAAGCCTTTAAACTATGGCAAATTGGCAGACATAGAACAGGAGGAGGAGGAAGCTCCTGGTAAATTCCTAGATAGACTGAGAGAAGCCCTTGGCAGATTCGCTGAGATTGATCCCGAACGTGAAGAGGGAAAAGTGATCTTAAAGGATAGATTTCTCATTCAGTCGGTTCTAGATATTGCCGTAAGCTATTAAAAAGAGCGTATGGACCAAATCAGTCTTTAGATAACTGTTACAACTGGCCCAGTCTATTATGGAAGGGAATATGAGGAAATGAAAGAAAGGCAGAAAAGGACAAAGGAACAGGCAGAAGCCTTCACAATGGCTATGAAAACCATTCTTAAACAGTCTGAGAAAAGTGCCCAGAGGG